GGTCACATGTCCATTTTTGTATATGGCCTGAAACCCAAACAAATGGATGCTTGTTAACTCCAGCACTTCTGTAATTCCACTTATACAGATCCTGAGGCTTTTGGTGGTATAAAAATGCCAAAAAACCTCAGCCTTGAATTTCCAAGTTGAATGCTAAGCATCCAACCAGCACTTTTGCAGAATCACATATGAAACTTCAGACAGCACAGGCACAGAGCACAGCAATGTTGCCAAAGTTAGGTTTAACTGGCCACTGAAAACAACAAATAGCCATGAGCAAGCTACTGTAAAACCACATCCTCAAGGCTACTCTTCAGCAAGTAGCATTACTGTATCACACAGTGGCAGAGATGCTAAGTCTGCAAGAAAAAAATAATCAGACTTTGAGTATGTAGAAGACAACAAAAGGTAAGACACAGAAGACTATCTGTAATACCTTTTGCCTTCACCAGCATTCATTTCTCAAAGCAAAAACCTAATGCTTATATGTCAAGCTGATAAGAGTCACTGATTTAATAGTAGGACAACAAGGGGAGAGTGATCATGGTAAGGACTTGACAGAGGAAACATAAGACAGACAAATATTTGCAAGTTCCATGTCTAACACACTGCACTTTAACTGATTTCAGCATCTACTGTAAATATAAGAACATATCTTTAAATGTTTGTGCAAGTGAAGAAGAAAACCAAAAGTTATTGGAAAAATACAAAGCAGACTAAGACATTATGGTATTTCTACATAAAGGCTGTATTTCTGGGCTCCCCAAAAATGAAACTTCAGAACTCCTGGATAGTGTCATGCATGTAGTTATAATTGTGAGTGTAACACCAGAAAGATCAGAAAAATGAAATGCTCAAATCACGAGTGTTGACAGAAGTTCAGTTCTGAGGTGCTTACAGTTTTGAAAAACAAAGGGGCAAAGGTCTTGGGTTTCCACTGAGTTTCAGTCTAAACATCTGCCACATGGATTAAAAACAAAATGAACAAAATTGCAATATTTTAGTTTGCATTTTTTCCAAAATTGTACTATCTAAACCATATTCTTCTGTATTTTGCAGATAGTCTCTGTAAGAGAAATTAAAACTAAAGGAAAAGGAATTGTGCTTATATATTAATAGATGACCAACAGGTCTGTGTATAATCACCTAAGCAGCTTACATCTCTCATTATAGGTGAGGTTACTTTAGATTCACACAAAAGCCTGCAGTGCAGGTTTTCACAGCTAGCTGCTTGCACTGCCACTGACTTACTTGTGTACAAAATGAATTTTTGTAACTAATTAGAAGTTGAGCTACTGACATACTCCTTTCAAGGACATTTGAGTTCAAATGGATATCAAGATAACAAACAGGGTTTGGTGAGGGGTTTTTTGTTGGTTAGGTGGTGTTTTTCTTAGGGCTTTTTCTATCTTGCTTTTTCTTTTTGAGGTTTTGTTTTGCTTTGTTCAAAATGGGAATGAGTTACCTACTTTTTCTTTAAAACAGAACTTCTATACCCTAACCAGTACTTTGATTACTTCACAATTTACAGATGTCTTCCAGAATAAAGCTTCTAATGAAAATTAGGTGTTCAAGAATCTATTCAACAGGCAAAAGGCTACAATCCCACAATGAAAAGAGGCAATTAATATTTCTTTTTGGGGAAAATACCCAAAACAAAATAAGCTTTCAACAGGTAGCACTAACGTAGAAACTATGAAGCAAAAAACCCAATATAAAAAGGTAAAGACAGATAAAATGTTGCAACCGATGCAGCTAAGATACATGACTTTTTAAAGCATAAGAAAAATTACTGACAGTAGCATAACTTATTACTAGCTAAGGATAGCAAAATTGCCAAGAGGCAAAAAAACCTGTCATGTGCAATAAATATTTTACATTAGGAAACAATTAAGATGACATATCTTATGAATAAAATTAAGTACTTCCCAATGTTTCAGCAGTGATAGAGATGTTTCCTTTATCACTAAGAAATTTTTGGAAATAAATACTTGTTATGGCAAGGTCAAATGATTTGCTTCTAATAATTCTAGAAAACTTGGGATTGAAGTCTCAAGTGGCTGACAGTTTTACAACACTACCATAGTTACAGTAAATCTTAATACTTTGAAGGTAAAAAAGAAGGTAACAACATAGGTCAGAAAGTTTGACACTCAACTAGAAAATATATAGAAGAAACTGTGTTGAAATTAATAAATTAACAGATTATAACAACCCATGTTGACTATCATCATAAGGTGATAACAGATTATGCACAGGAAGACCAAAATGACAATTCCGCTTAAGTAATACAAAAGTGACACAACATAGCACATATCTACATGACATGACTTATTATCAGGGTGTTTGCAGAACTCTCTTAGACCAACAGAATGCATGAAGCAAATTAAAGCTCAAGATAGAACATTTTATTTATTTTAAAGAGAGAACGTGCCTGGAGTTTTGCCATCTTTAAAAACTCCCAACAATTTTGGTGATTTGAAAGCGACTCTAAACACATTTCTTGATAGCATGCTGTGGATGAGATGGGCATTGACTAAACAGAGTAGCAGTAAGAACAAGGTCAGAAAGACCAAAAAAAGACAGATTCGCTCAAACAAAATATGCTGTACGAGAAAAACCAGATGAAAAACATATTGTTAAGGAATAAGTAGGGGACCATACTTTAAACAGCAGATTAATCTAATCTGCACATATCTTTTGTACAGAATAAGAAAATGACCCAAAGGAAGATAAGCATGGAACAACTGTTTGGCAGTAGTAGCTATCCTATATGAGTAATTCCAGTTCTGACTACACAGATGAAACAGTAAGCTGAGTGGCTGCAACAAGACTGCACATGATTCTAGATTTTGGCCCAGTGCTATTAAATAAATATCTGACAATGAGAAAAAATTTGAAGGTCACAGGCATCAAAATACTGGCAATGGCATAGGTGAGATTAAGAAACCCTTTTAGAAAGAAACTCTGGATTTTCACAGATGCTGAAAATCTTGTAAGGCTTGGATGTTAACTCATCCTCCCAGTGAGAAGGGCTGCAATGAAATATATCGAAGTAGCATTGCAGGAAGCAAACAGCCATAGTCACAAGTGAAAGGTCTATAGAAGTTGTGAGCCTTAATTTTGTTACCCATCATGACATCCTTTAAAAAATGCATCACCTGGATTCTTGTGGAATTTGGTGACAAATCAATGCATAAATACTGAAACATTATCCATCAGCTCATATTATATTTCAATTAACTAAAACATAAGGTAGATTTATTTTAGAAAAGAATTCTGTGAAATGAGGTCCTGAAAAGCGTCGGGAAAGGGTTCTTACAGAATAGTAATCCAGACTGCAGAACTTCCAGTCACAGCATTCCCACCAATGAGATATGTACCAAAAGCCACATGAACAAACTGGGAAACTCCAGAGAACTACCACTAGAAGTAGGCATCTGAAACTGGTCAGTAGTAAATACATTTTGACTACACTTGCGTTAACTGGTCTACAAGTTATCCATAATATCCAGGCATCAACATTCTGTTTCATTCCTATCTGCATTTCAACTTCAAAACTTTGATAACAAAACGCATTTCTTTTCTATTCGCATCAACACAGCATCTACAGTCCCTTCTTCATCTCAATGCAAGTCATATTTGATATCCCTCATTCTGACAATCTTCTCTTTAGACCTGCATCCCACTGCTGTTACCCGGAATGCTTAATTGTTCAGAGGTGGAAGGTTCAGAGGTCGTTCCTCCTTAGCACACACAGAAGGGAAGGAAGGCTTTCAACATGCTGATTGGTGTAAACTTCTGTAGGCTTTCAAAATTTCTCCTTATACCACACAATCCCTGTCATCTGACTGGAGCAGAGTTCAAAACAAATGTTTAATTACACAGCCTTATATCCAAAGGCTGAGGACAACACTTACATAGTGTCACCAGTCTTAAATTAATGACTCAAAGACTAAATTAAATCAAAGACTTTTGAGTCTAAGACAGGTTGATTCACACAGACTTTTGTTCTTTTCTCTTGTGAGAAATGTCCTTTCATACAATGGATCAAGTATTGATCTATTGTTATAATACAGTCCCAACATCCTCAAGGAAACTCACAGACCTGGGTTCTGCTTATAAGCCAGAGAATTATCAGTTACTATCTACAAACTGGCCTTTGGCTTAAACTGATAATTTAGAAACGGAAGAGAAGTTGCATAAAGGAAATTCAGATTTCACAAGTTCTTTCAAAATCAAGAGTAGGAAGATGCATAAATCTCTCAGGAGTTATTAATGATTACAGACCCAAGGGTTCTCTGTACGTACTGAAAAGAGCATCTGCTGACTAATGGAAGATTTACTGAAAGGACCAAAAATGAATCAAGAGAGGTTAATCAAAAACACAACAAAAGAGAGTGAAAGAATTAAATGTTGGCTTTACTATACACTATAGACAAGTGTTCTAAGTGTCATCACATTAACATTCAACTTCAATTAATTTGCATTGTATCTGTGCCCTATTTCCAATGGAAGCAGCTTTCCTGGGCTTTACTGTCTGAAATAACCACAGGCTAATAATGAATACATGAAACTATTCTTAATCTCATGAGAAGAGTCACAGCTTAAAAAGCAACCCCAACAGCACAAAACTCAGTTACATTAACTTTCCTAAAATTAAACCATACCTTTTCCCCAAACTACTAAGTACCCAGAGGAGCAAGCTGAACTGGGTTATTATACGAAGATGTGCTAAAAAAAGAAAGAAGCAAAAAAACCCCAAAAAACCCCCAACAAATCCCAAATGCACCAACTCCTACCGCTCCTGCTTTATTTGTGGTTCCCTGGCCTCCTCAAGAGAGGAAGGCACCTGCTATGTAAAATGTTTTACACACATTACTGCAGAGTACAAGCTTCTTTCCAACGAGGCAACTACAATGACTTGATTTCATGACATTTCATTCCTCCTAAAATTCAAATCACACATCTACTTTTATTCTGTATTAGAGCATACTTACTCTGCCATTACACGTCTGACGTTATTAGCATATAACACTGGATTTTTTCTTTCTTCTTCTGAAGGAATGTAGACGGGTAGAAACTGCATACAGAGAACTGAATTATACCAAAAATATTTCACATTTTAAATAATCTATCATAGCACTATGGCGAAAAATGTATACAGTTTGTTGTTACTTGCATAATTATATTAGCGAAAGTACTATAGAAAAAAACCTAAAAATTGAACTCTTAAATGATCAATGATATGACATACTTCTAGAAATTCATGTAACAGTGACTCTGCTCATTTCTTACCTCATGGAACCTGAGCATAATTTTATTTTTCTTTCATGAAGTGGGACCAGGAATTTTTCAATCCTTTAAAAGTATTAGCACTTTGTTGCATAAACCCTTCTCTTGCATCCTGTATTGTTCAGCTCTTTCCAGATAACAAAAAAAGGTACCTGCTACCTGAATGTTTTTCTATAGCTTAAATATTAGGAATTCAAATTCTCAGGACATCAGGTATTTACTGTTCCCCCTGCACATTTTGAAATCATGTATGACTGCTTAATGTACACATCAAAAGTGTTTTTATCTTCTGTTGGTGGAGGTTTTTAAGAACTTCTCCCTTCAAGTTGGACACCAGCAGCTAATACTCAACTGAAAGAAATTTCTAAATAAATGCAGATGGCCACAAAATTGCAGAAACACAGCACAGTTAATATTGGAAGGGGAAAACTTGAACCAGAACTGCTGGAGAACTGAAACAGGAAAGACAGCTTTTAGAATGGAATGGACTATATATCAAAAGAGCTTCCAGCTTTTGGCTGTTTCCAAGTGTCCATTGAAAAACTATGTAAGCCCCAAGGTCATGGCCAATCTCACCTATAAAAAGCCTCAAGACATTCCATTTCTGCCAAGTAACTGATTTCTCAGACAGGAGGAACAGGAAGGGATCACTCCAATTCCCACTCCTGCTAGTATGAGACAGAATTTTCTTAGTAGTGCAGCAGAATGAGATAGTTTATGCACTGAGTAAACAAAATGCTCACAGTCCTGTGGAAAGTCTCTGAAGTAGAAACCAAACCTATGGGTAGTATGAAATGGGAATTATGATCCAGAAATTTCACACTGGTATTTTAAAAAAGAAAATAACAATGGGGGAATAAAGTTTATCATTTCAGCAAATACTTCTCAACAACTATGAAGTTAGCTGTATTTTCAGAATCACATAATGGTATGATCAGCAGTACTGAAATACTGCCATTAGATGTTTGGCTGTTTCTTATAATAGATAATCTTTATTTTGGTTTCTGTTAGAGTTTTCCTTATACACACCACTGAAAACATATGACTCCTGTCACATTATGAGCAGGTACACCAGCCTGATGTAACATACAAAAAGACAAAGACTATGAAGTTAACAGAGGTCAAAACACTGTTCCTTCAACTTCCAAGCCCCATCCCATTTTTCTGAGTTGCAAATTGCTATCAAGTCATTCATCCAAACAGAATAAGTTTGAATATGATGTGATTTTAGAGGTGTTCTGCATGTCTGTTCCTCACTGACAGAAAAAGCATGATCATTTCAACATCACTAACAAAACTGAGAGAACTCTCAGTTGCTGCAGACTGTGATGGATGTCTGAACATTGAAGCTGGCAGGCCAGCAAAACAAACTGACATGAGCCAAAGCAAACTACATGTGCAGATGATCGTATATACGTTCTTCTTCACAACATTGCTTGCATGCCAGTTCCAAGTACAGGATGGATGGATGGATGGGCCAATATTTATAGAAGCCTATTATAAAACCTACATACATGGTTGCTTCTCTCTCTCTATATATATATACTGGATGACACATATGGTATGCCAGAGCATACATTATATGCAGAGAAGTCCAGACTAACTAACTTTAGATCCTGACTGCTGGCTGTTAAACCTTACTAGCTATCATTTAATCTAAAACAGATTGAAGTTGTGGTGTTTTGTTCTACGTCTCCCTGAGTTATTGCGTGGTCAGCAGTAACTGTGCTATCAAGGCTGGCTGGTATTTGCCACTATCTCTGTGATGATGGGCAGAGCCAACAAACCTTGGAGAGCAGGGGAAAAACATGACTTTGAACACTAATTTTTCCTCCTATGTTTCTGCTGCATTTCCTTTCAAAACCAGATTCAACAAGTAGCTCTCAAGTACTCTGCCTCATACTTGCAAGTAGCCTTAAATACAGCTCTGCTCCTCTATCTTCTGCCAGCTCCTACTTTAGTACGGAGTATTTCAGAAGGTCACTAGTTAGCTTACTTACTTTAAAAACTACCAAAGATCATAATTTGTTGTTATGCAAGATGTCTAAGAGCTACAGAAACTCAACATCTGCTAGCAGCTGCTGCCTCAAAAATCAAGAATGCTCAGCAGTGTTCACTTCTGTGTGAAAGAACCTATTTTACTAGCCTAGGGCAGAAAACCATGTCCATGAGATAGAGTAAAAATCCTGTCAATCAGCTGGTTTATCTTATCCCTGTGTGCGGCACTTGCTCCCTGGCCCTCCTACAAAAAACAGGCCACTATATTTGGAAATCAGAATTATTTTTTTAATATATGCTATTAATAGCTGATGATACCAAACTAAATTGATACCACAAGCCCACAAATTCCTACAACGGATACAACTGTTCAGGGGCTGGTATTTTTAACATTCATTAATTTTGAGAATAACTGATTGCATAAATAAGCAAACACAGAGCAGTGATACGTCAGTACTGTGATTAGCATGCATTCTATGTTACTATTGTACCACACTGTGTATGTAAATATGTAATAGTTCTTCCTACTGTTTTACCCTGCCATCAGTTCCATCTGTCAGAGCTAAATAGCTGCTTCATTATTTAAAAAGCAACAGAATTGCAGAACATCTGTCAAATACCCTATACAACACTTTTCAAATACTGTAATTGTCCACAAAAATGTAATTACTCTCTGCAAAACACATAAGCAGAGCAATTTAAAAGGAAAGGCTTTAACTGGTTTTGCATTTTCACTACAATAATCTTCAACCTTAGGATCACATAGTGTTTTCCTCAAAACAAAGTTAAGAATACAGACAGATTTTCTTTGTGATTTCTGATTTCACATTCTGAACAGTGCAGCCTAATAAAAAATTAGCAAGACATCATATAACCTATCTGGCCTAAAAG